CATTCCAGTAAAAACCAGTAAAATTTTACAATTAGTAAAACTTTTATTGGTTTCTACTAAGGTAAAAGTTTTACTGGTTTTTACTAGATAGTGCGTACGAAAACAGGGCTATTGCCACGTCTGACATGCTCTTATCAATTAGCGCAGGCCCATTATACGCACGTAGTGAAAATAAAAGTTGACCTTTAACCTCTTGTGGTTTTTGTTTTTTGATTGTTCATAGTTGAAAGGGTTGGCATTCTATCCGTGTTCCGAATTTTCGGTGGGGACGCTAAAGTGCACAATTACCAGTTATGTAATAGGGAATTTACTTGATTCAACTTTCACAGGCGATTAGTTGAACCAAAAGTTGTTGAACGAAAGTAGGCAGCCATGATTCAATAACTTTATAACAATAATTGATGCGCCTAGGCAGCCGACCAACTGAAAGCGAATAGTTGAAAGGCCGTAACCGTAACTTACAGCCGATTTCTCAGTGGATGTTTAATTATAATCAAGATTATCTCGTCTGGTCAGTTTCTCAAAATAGCTGATTAACTCATAGTTTATTCGCCAACATTGGGCAGTTAACTATTGATTTACTTATTATTTGTTAACTTATAGTTATTTATGAACTGAGAAATCGGCTGTTATATTGAACCGTTAAGTACTACAATTTGTTTATAAACTCTTACTTGTGTTCCTTTACCGGATCCTGGTGGCCCTAATAATATTGCGTAGATCCCAATTTCTTCTTCGTACCGGGGAAGTGGAGCTGCTGCTTTTGGTGCCATGTTTTCTATCTTAACGTATCTGTCTATCTTTATTAGACAGAAACCCAACATCAACGATCTGTTTTGCAACAAAGGAACTAAAACGCGTGTATTAGAAATGAAAATCGAAGACCATGGGAAATATAGGAATGAAACGATACGAGTAAATAATAGACGTGGGTAACACTGCGCTGCGCGGCGCAATTGCATCAACACCGTGGCCGGAGTTGCCGCGCCAACACAAATATATGAAAATCGGCACGCCATTAACACCTAGAAACACATCAGACACACATTAATTCTTGAAAAATTAGACGCACTTTTTCTTTGATTTTGAGTGGTGAGAACGCCAGAAACTTATATATCTTGGCAAATTTAAAGCTTTTACTCAAGGATGATAAGAATATCGTGGCATTTACTGCATTCCTAGCAGCTAAGTTCGGTTGGCGGTACAAGCGTGCTCAGCTCCGAAAATTTAAGAAATAATAGGTCTGACCACAATCCAGAAAATAAAGGTCGCACCATTCGCGGACCGCTAACCCTCTCTTTGTCGATTTGACAGCATCCACC